CAGTCAGTGCCTAAGGTCATGAACCAAGAGCTCACCTAGGCAGTGGAGCCCCAGGCTCACTCCCAGTGCTAGGTACTGTACTGCTAACAGTTTGAGGCAGGAGTTAAACACCCTGGAGGAGAGAGAGTTACTGTGATGCAGTGAGGGGTCATTACACTTGGAGATGGGGGCTGGGGGTTCAGCAGAGGTCCTGCTGTTACTTATATGACACTCTACCTGTCACTTCCCCTCTCTGTGAGTCGGGTTTCCCACCTGTGAAATACAACAGAGGGTTTCAAGCAACAGATGCAACCTCAGGCATCCCAACAAATCTGAGCAAAAACTGAAGGGGATGCTAAAGAGGTAGAGCTGGGGGCATGACCCACACTTCAAGTAGAACAGCACAACAGTGGCTCTCTATGAAGGGGGCTCTGTGTGTGTGCGCACGCTATGTAGTATTTCATGAAGCAGAAAGAAGTTCTGCTCTTTAAAAGGTTTGGATGGGAACCAATGGACAGGAGCCCCTCCCATTTTAAGTATTTGTTCTCTCATTTTTATGAGACTTTTGCTGGGGCGCTGTGGATCAGCACTGGACTGCAAACCACAAGACTGGCGCTTCTAACCCACCAGGCTGCTCCTCAGAAACCCTATATAGGGTTCCCATGAGTCAGAACTGACTCCGACAGCACTTAAAACAACAACAACAACAGGGGGAGACAGAATGAAGAATCACAATGACAGAATTCCAAGGTTTCTGGCCTTGGGATGCAGAGCCCAGAGGGATGCTAATGGAACCTGTTGATGGGTTCCATTAAGTTGATTCTGATTCAGAGTAAAAGTAACCCAGAGGGTTTTCTTGTCTGTAATCTGCACAGAAACAAATCACTAGGTCTTCATGGCAGAGCTGATGGATAGTTCAACTCACCAACCTTTTGCTTACCAGTAGAGTGCTTAACCATGGTACCACTAGAGCTCTTTTGAATGAGGCTTATTGTTGTTAAGTGCCCTCAAGTTGGTACAGCAACCCTGTATAGAATTTCCGAGGAGTGGCTAGTGGGTTTGAATTGCTGATCTTTTGGTTAGAAGTCCAGTGCTTGTCTGATAGTGCCACATCAGCTTATCCTGAAAGAAGCTAACAGTCTATGAGGCTGATTGGATCAACTAAGGGCTCCCACAATCTCTTTCTTCCTCTTCTAGAATAGAACCATGAAACAGAACACAGGAAGTCCCTAATTGCAGCTGGGGCAAACTCTAAAGGTTTCGCCCTCTTCTTCTTTTTCCAGGTTTAGGTTTCCTATTACAACTTAATTATGTGCCCTTCATAGATACCATACAGCTAATATTCTTTAGGAGAAAGAGGTGGGCAGAGACTTCTTCCTTCTTGATTTGATTATCTGGAAATGTACACTATATTTTATCTAAGAAATAAATGAGGTGGAAGTAGAACAGAAAAGATAAGATTAGTTTGGGGAATTAAAAAATAAACTAACTCTTGGAAGAGAAGGAAAAGATGTAGGGACCAAAAAGATATGCATAGGGGGAAAAGACACAAAATTAAAAAAAAAAAAAACACATGTAAAAAGTAAAAGTATTTCTGGTGCTAGCTAAAGGAGCTCAGTGGCCCAATGGCTAAATGCTTGATGGCTAAATGAAAGGTTGGTAATTCCAAAGCACCTAGCAGTTTGAGGGAGAAGGGTCTGGTGATCTGCTCCCACAAAGCCTAGGAAACCCTACGGGGCAGTTCTTCTATCTTATAGGTTAGAACTGACCCGACAACATACAAAAACAACATATTAACTAAACTGTAAGTGGGGAAAGAGGAGGAGTTTCCAGTATCCAAGGGAAAGTAGAGATGGTGGAGTGGAGGTATTAATTTAGGTCTGCTTTCCCCACTGTGATTCACAGAACATTCATCACTGGAGATGACTCTTGGGAAACATTTCTCTGGGCAGCACTGCCGTGTGGTCTTCTGAGTCTTGCCAGGATCCACAGCGCTCACTGGTATTAGACAAATGTTCCTTGATGGCAGGACTTTTCTTTAAAAGTTTGTTGGCTGGAAGTGGCCTGCATTTTGCAGGACATTTACCTGCTCTTTAACATTCTCCAAAATTCCTCCAAGATGATCCACATAGACCTGGTTGAATCCATCTCTTGGAGGGTTCTCAATATACAGGTATACCTCAGATAGTGCAGGTTTGGTTCCAGACCACCACAGTGAAGCAAATACTTCAACAGTGAGCCACATGAATTTTTCGGTTTTACAATTCAGATATAAAAGTTTATGTTTAACATTAAGAGTGCTATTAGGTTTTGAAAAAGTTTGAAATACTATGAGAATTTCCAAAATGTGACACAGACATGAAAAGAGTACATGTTCTTGGAAAAAATGATGCCAATCGATTCGTTCTGTGTAGCGCTGCTACAAACCTTCAATTTGTTAAAAAAAAAACAACCAAAAAACAAAAAAAACATGCAATGTCTCCTAAGTGATGCACAATAAAACAAAGTATACCTGTACAATGGTGTACTGAATGCTCTGCAGGGACAACACCTGCTTCCCATAGTTTAACCTGTCGTTCCTCACATTTATGGGGCTCAGCTCTCTATTTGGAAAGCACACTTAGAGAGAAACACCAACTTAGGCAGAGCCGGTGTTAGTCATCACAGCGGAGCCACTGGTCTAAGCCTTCTTGGGTTACTTGTCTTTCAGCTTGGATTACAGAGGGCAAAAACCTGTAGCTGGTATAGGACATTTTGGAACCTGGGTAATATCTATATAAATTGTGCCAAGAGAATTTAAACTGACATCTAAATTTCACTGGTCCAGTATTTGTTTTGATTTTATAAATTGAACAAGGAAGTCTCACATTCACCTAAAACCCAGCGTTTCTATACATCAAGTCTCTGGGTGATGTGAATCGTAAACAAACAAACATGGGTTCAAACTCATGAGTCGTTCCTTAGAAACTCTACACAGGGTCGTTAGGAGTCAGAACTGAGTTGGCAGTTAACAACAACAAAAATATGGTTGGCAGTTTGAATCTACCCAGAGGTGTTCCAGAAGAAAGTCTGGCAGTCTACTTCTAAAACCTCCATCATTAAAGATCCTATGGAACACAGTTCTTTCTACTCTTGATACACCTGGGATCACCATGAGTCAACTGGTTGGTGGCTATCCAGACTATTGTTGTCCATCTTCTGCTCAGGAAGATTTATGGGGGACCATCATCAGCTGCCTTGCTGAGTCATCCCTGACAACATTTATGTTGGGTATCACTCATCTACTAGTATAATAGCTTTCAGAGAAAGCAACGAAGCCAGCTGGCATGGTTTGTTCTTAATAATCCCTGCTGGCTCCCAGAGACTGTACTTCCTCTTTCAGATGCTCACTGCCATTGCTTTAATAACAGGCTCCTCAATCTTGCCAGGATCAACATGTGCTCACTGACATTAGACAAATGTCTCGATTGCTTGGATTGAAGTGGCCTGCATTTTGTAGGATATTTACCTGTTCTTTCTTCCAGTCTACAAAATTCCTCCAAAACCTACAATTGCCCGAATGTCTTGCCTGCATTTTTCATAGGGCCACAGTCTATACCTCACTTGGCCAAGGGGCTCAAATTCAACATCAAGGGGCTGCTCTCCTGCCTCCACATCAGGGCTCCATTGGATCAGTTTGTTCTAGTCCCCGCTGCCTAAAAGGCTCGCTAAGGGCAGCAGGTCTCACCACCTCAGCTGCTCTTCTACCTCAGTGGTTGTCTTCATCTCTGGGAATAGGCAAGGCTCCTTCCTGCCTCAAAGCCCTATTTCACTACATCACTATAAGATGCTCATTTCTCCCCCAACCTTTAGAGCCTAGTTTGCATCCTGGTTCTTCCAGGCCACTGATCTCTTCCTTCCTCTGAGCCTCCAAGGCTCTTCATTTGGCAGCCACCATACAATCATGTGCTACCTGGGATTTGACCACATGTTCCCCATGAGGGTGCTGGAACCTTTGGGACAGGTAGGACTGGGCCCTTATGCTTCTTCAGAACCTCTCTCTCTGCAGCACCTGGTGCAGCACTATGCCATGGAAGTCCTCAGAAATGTTGGGTCAACAGAACTGCTGTTTCCTGTCTTCCTGGTCCAAGGAGACCTCGACTTTGGTGGAAGTTGTAAACTGCCAGCATGCTTACTACCTCAGACTGATTTAGAGTTTATCTTGAAATGAAATGGTTTCTGGCCCTTTTAGAAATGGGCATACTTGGACTCTTTAAATACACTGTCAATGAAACTTGGTACATAAATAAGTTATGTCTATGACTGCAGCTGGATTTAAGTAACCATGATAAACTTGGAGTAGCAAAAGAATTCTTGGAAACTTAATAATGCTCTTCAAATGGAATGGAAATAAGCAAAGTTCTTTCAATAAAAATGCCTCTTGGATCAACCTGATTCTCCAGGTGGTGGTGGTAAATGCTAACACATCTTCAGCATTGGCACAATCCCAGATCAGGCATACAACGTGCTCTCTCCTTTCTGAGGCCTGGCCCAGTGCACGTGGCTCTGAGACTTCCCCAGACATTTGCTGGGGGCTGGCATGCAGGCACACAGCCTGGACTTGGGGCGCTGTCTTCTGCAGATGTTCAAGAAGGCCGAATTTGACTGAATAAGCATCCAAGTTGCCTGATAGTCGGGCATCTATCTAAATGGGTATTGTTTTTGAAAGTAAAAGGGAAAAGACACCCAAATCTAAAGCTAGGAAAGATTCGGTGCTTCATTTTGGGAACACTAGGGTTGCCATTTTCTTTCATTTTTCTAGAAATTACTTATAAGCAAGCCCAGCCCATCTATTTCTCTTGGCTAAAGGAGATGACAGTAACACATTTACATGTTTCATAGCTTATCTGGTGGTGGTAATGGCTCCCACTGGATGGTGTCCAAATGCTGTGAAAAGATTGGTTTCCCTTCCCACCCCCATTAGTTACTTGTACACATGGACACCCACTCCCACACCCTTTATTGATCTCCCTACACCTCACCTGGTTGATCACATAGATGCCATAGTCCAACTGCTGGCGCTGCAGGACTGGGTGCAGGTAATACAGCCAGTACTTGAGGTGGTCCTGTCGGTTGCGGAATGGAATAATGATGGCCACTTTGTGAGGAGAGACACAGTTCTTGGGGGCAGAGCGGCCGCCCACCTTAACATTCGGGTTCTGCTTTGCTACTTGTTCCAGGTCCACAGGCATGTTAAACTCGATCATCATGGGGCCAACTAGAGAAGTGAAGGGAAGGAGAAGTTAGCAGGCCACAGGGCTCTCTGCTCCACAACCAGGCCTGTGGGCTAGGACATAGCAGTGTAGAAAAGGCACTCCCATGTGGGCACTTCCTCCAACACTAGGGTGATCAACTGTACCAGGAAATCCCTCAGCTCTGAAAGTCCTGCATCCCAAGAAACACCTTCACCTGGGGAAACCAGGATGGCTGGCCACCCTACCTGGCACTTCCTACACACTCCAGACTGTGTATCCCTTTGTAAGATAGAAATGCAGATAATAATTCCTGCTCAGACTTCCCGACAAGATTGCTGTGAAGATCTGAGATAATGGATGAGAAGGCACTGCCTCAAAAATCCTCCTGTTCAGACCCTTCTGAAGGCCACCTTTCAGTCAAGTCATAGATAGGACTATAAAACAATACCTGTGAAGAATGTGCTTCTTAGAACAGTCAACTATACTAGACCGAAAGGGCAACATTTGCCCCAAACTACAGATGAGAAAATAGCAGGGGCAGGGAAAGCAGATGAATTCAGGGAGGAAGTAGGGAAAGTGTTGGCACATTGCAGGAATTGCAAGCAATGTCACACACAATCTGTGCATGAACTGCTCATGGAAAAGCTAATTGTTGATATAAACTTCCACCTAAAATATAATGTGTTGTTTTTTTAAGAGCTCTTCCAGTTATGTGACATTGTACAAATGACTTAATCACTTTGGACCTAGTATGAGTTAGGGAAGGTAGAGGTATGTGTGTGTTGGTAAGCAAAGCCAAGGTAAGATAATTGGTCTCAACTCAGAAGGTAGCAGGGAGTGGCATGAGCAACCCCATGTTTCAGGAAGGGACTTGATGCACCCAGGGGAGACTGAGGCTAGATGAGAGAAAAGGAAAAGAATGCCAAAGACAAAGGGAATGAAAAAGTGAGGAAGGACCAGGGATGACCTCAAAGTTCTGACCTAGAAAAGCAGGAATCCAGATGAGAGAAATAGTTCCTGAAAATACTAGTCACAGCAAGACACTCAATGGAAAAAAGGCCCCTGGTCAGATAAGAGTAGAAACCCTGTATATTAAATCCTGCTTTTGCAAAGTCATGATGCGCATCAAAGGCTCCAAAAAGTTGTAGAGACAGGACACCCGCTTTGCTTTATTTAATCCACCATTTCCCGAACCTATTTGGCTACAGAACCATTTCTTCAGGGAACACGTTTTAGGAACTATGACTCTAATGCAGGGTGAGGAATGTTTGGCCCTGCCAAGGCAACTGCAATTTCAGCCATCACACTGTTGTTGTTAGTGTTGTTAATTCAGTTCCAACCCATAGCGACCTTGTATAGGGTTTCCGAGGAGCGGCTGGTGAACTTGAAACACTGACCTTACAGTGTAAAATGACTGTGCAGTTCAGCACCCACAGAGCCATCACATTGTTGTTATTGTTGTTGTGATGTGCCGTGGAGCAGGTTCTGACTCATAGCGACCCTGTACAGGGTCTCCGAGGCTGTAAATCTTTACGGGAGTAGAAAGCCTCATCTTTCTCCCACAGAAAGGCTGGTAGTTTCGAACTGCTGACCTTGAGATTAGCAGCCTGATTCATAACCACTTACACTACCAGCACTCCAAATATAGCAAGCTAATTTTTAAGTTGATTAATTTTGTATGGCACACAAATATGTTACAAATTTTAGCAGAAAAATGTTCCCCACCCCTGCTCTAGCGGGACCAGCTTCACCTGTGAGCCGAATAAACCACAGGAACGAAAGAAGGAGCCTACAGAAAAGAGGCAATAATGCTGATCACAAACTCAGAGCAAAGTTCTCCTGAAATGAACTGGTGAGAACCACCTCTGGCCCAGTGCCCAGGCCTCTGCCCACCCCTGCTTATCTATCAAGATGTGGCACCCCAGTACCCCTTTTCTTCAGAGACTGGTTACTCTCCTGAAATGAAACAGCCCAGAGAAAAGGAAGCTGTGGCCCTTGCTCCTCCTGCCTGTCAGCAGGTGCAGACGTGTTCATGTGCTGCTTTTTCTCCCCACCCCAGGGTACTCCTCACAGCTTCCCTCTACTGTTGACCTTCATCCATCATCAGAGGACCTATTCCCATTAGGTCACTTTCTTCTGAGACAAAGTTCTGATCATATCAGTTTCTTGCAAAAGACTTCCGATGGTGCCTTGCTATTTCCAAGGTAATGCCAAATCCCTGAGCTTGGCAAGAAGGCCTTTCATTTTTAGCTCTGTCCAACTCCCTCCCTATTCCTATAACACCAGGCCTGTGTCCATACTCTGTCTTCTGCCAGAGATACCATTCCCTCATTCCTCTAACCAGCAAATATATACATTCTTCAAGGCCTAGCTTAAACATCACCCACTCAAGAGCTCTTTCTGATTCCTCCTCCAATCAGCTACGTCCACAGATCCCTGTACAAATGTCCATTATGCTAATTATTTCATGAATTACACTGAGAGAGGCCAGAATCTTAACATTAAAGCCCCACCCTAATCTAGTCTGTTCCTTTTGCTCTCTTTATTACTACACAGCTTGGATAGCAGATGTTCTGGGTCAGGCAAGGGGCCCCTTAGAATTCCAAGGACCCTGGCTAATTCCTGGCCATGCATCTCCCTCCTTGGGGAGTCAGGTGCCTCACATATCAGCCCCTCAAGCCACTGATGCAACCCCAACCTCCCAAAGTGTCCAAAGGTGAACAGACACCATGCTCCATGACTAGGTAAGATGTTACCCTGGGCCAGTCTTCCTAAAACTTACTGCTCACCAGAATTCTGAGGTACTTAGTAAAAACAAGAATCCAAGGCTTACTGTAAATATCCCTGGAGAGTCTGATTCAGATCTTGGGAAGGACCTAGGGCATAATTAACAAGGAGCACAAATGATTCTTCGTAGGAATGCTGGGCAATACAAAGTTAAAACTTAACACTTTCATGGACATTGCCCTTCCCCACCAGATCTGCTGGGTCTTGGCTCACAAGTCCCCAATCCTGGGCAAAGTCCTACGGGAGGACTTGCTGCACAGTGAGCTTGTGAAAAACATGAAAACATCAGTCATTGAGTTCTTCTCACTTCACAAGACTCAACAACATCTGCAACTCCCACTCCACCCCCACCTATGGTTCTGAAGATGCTGCTAAACATAACTCGATTTTCGGGAACCCAAGAGGCATCTGGACAGTCACCCTATAAAACTGCTGACACCTTCCGAAACCAACCCAGAACACAGGAATTCATATTGGCCCACCCAGCCTCCTAGAAACAGACAGCTGTAGGCTAAGAAATGTCCTAACTTTGCCTCTTAAAGGGTTCCAGAAATGTGTTTCTTAGGTAGAGTCCCAAAGAGGAGACAAGACACCTGGGCCCTGGTCCAGCTCTACCAGTGACTTTCTGGGTGACCTCTGGACCAGTACCGTATAATCTCAGGGCATTGGTTTCTCCATTTGTAAATTGCAGGGCTTGGACTGGATGGTGTCTACAGCCCTAGACTGGACAGCACTTGGCAGCCCTCCACCTAGAGCCAAACACCTCCCTGGGTCCAACGCCAGGCAGGAGGCCTTCCAAGTACCTTGCGTACCTCCTGCCACCTGCAAGGGCCATCCTCGGCTGCACACCTGGCTCTGACTCAAGGAGAAATTCCCAGCCTAAGGCACAGGGCTGAGGACTTTGTGACAGTCCTCAGGCTGGGCCAGGCTTCCTTGCTGTACGGCGCATGGTGTGTGCTACCACAGACCCACATCCCTGCTGGGCTGGCTTGTGTGTTTTCCTGGCTCTGGGAGTAACCCTAAACAGGGTTATATAAGCAGACGAGCAGATGTGTGCCTGTCCTCAGCTCTCCCAGCTCAAGCCCCACCACGTGGGCCTCTCAGCTGGGAGTCCAGGTCATGGCTTTCCTTGTAAGTCGCTCAATCACTTCAACGTGTGAGCTCAATTCAGACAGATTCCATTGCTCCCTTGTCTGGCACAGCAAACCCAAGCACACACAGTCCCCTTCACCAGAAGCCCTGCTTTTATTGACAGACCGATCTCAGCACCACATCCCTGTCTCGCTTTCACGCTGGCCGAGCCACTGGTTTAGTCCTCTAGCCTCAGTCTCAAAGGCTAGTTCTGTAGAATGGGTTCAAATATCCAATCACAGCCTCCCAATGGATTCGCCAGCAGTTGAGGAAACAATCTTTGTCCTGATGCTGGGTTATAAAAATGCTTCACCAGCCTGGGACAAATGATAAAAAGTAAGAACAATATAGGTATTTTTCCATCAAGCTAAATTGATATCTAGGAGTGTCCTGATTAACACTGAACATACCGTGGACTGCCACAAGAATGTGCAAATCTACCTTGGAGAAGTACAGTCAGAATGGTCCTTAGAAGCCAGGATGGCTAGGTACATGGCCATGTCCTCAGAAAGAACCAGTCCCTGGAGAGTGGCATGCTTGGAAATGGTCAGCAAAACAGAAGAGCCTCAATGTGATGGATGAACACAGTTAGAAGACCCTCAATGAGATGGATGAACACAGTTAGAAGACCCTCAATGAGATGGACGAACAGAGTTGCTGCAACAATGGGCTCAAATACCGGAGCCATTGTAAGGGTGGCACTGGACTGGGCAGTGTTTCGTTCTGTTACATAGAAGGTTGCTGAGTCAGAACTGACTTGATGGTACCTAACAACAACTCTTACGAACTGATCATGGTGGATTTAGTTGCAGGATTGATTTAAACAATTTTTTAATTTATTTAAAATTTTTCTTTGGCAGCCTTGGTTGGATCAGACCTGAGTTTCTTTATCATTTTCCTGGATGTTGTTAAGTACTGTGGAGTTGGTTCTGACTCATAGTGACCCTGCACAGGGTTTCTAAGGCTAAAAATCTTTACGGGAGCAGAAAGCCTAATCTTTCTCATGCAAAAGGGCTGGTAGTTTCGAACTGCCGACCTTGAGGTTAGCAGCTCAATTTGTAACCACGCTACCAGAGCTCCTTATAGATGGATTGTTGTTGTTGTT